TTGTAGTATCATGCACGTACGCGCGCAATACAAGCAAATTTCACGTTTGTTGATTTGGGATTATACAACGCAACGCAGAAAGCAACAGAATTGGAAAATTATAATCCAATTAGTAAAACTTTGTATATGCCATTGACCTTGTATTATTAGTCATCCATTATGCAACATTCTACAATATTTTTTTTTATTCCTTAAAAGTTATACGATTAACATACTAAATGAAACAGTTTATTACAAAGTACGACAGACTTTATTACAAAGTGCGACATCTTAGTTGATTACAAAGTGTGACAGGCAGATAGGCCTATTACAAGTGCGACAGCTTCATTGTTACAAAGTGCGACAACACTTATTACAAAGTGCGACAGGTTATTACAAACTGTGACAAATTTGTTACAAAATGCGACGATTATTTAAAAGTGCGGCAGTACGAATGCCCTCGCGTCATCATCATCAGCATTGTCATCGGCGGCATCCTCATTATCATCGTCGTCATCATTATCATTATTATCATCCTCATCATCGTCGTCGTCATCCTCATTATCATGGTCGTCGTCATCATTATCATCATCACCATCATTATTATTATCATCATCATTTTCATCGTCATTATACAAGAACAGCATCGTCACCAAAATTACGACGATCTCGAGCATCAGCACTTCCACCGATATGATCATTGTCTGCATCATTTTCTTGTTTTTATTATTATAATTAGCAGCAGTATTATCTCCATCTTCATTAATAATATTATCTTCATCTTCTGTTTCATCATATTTATCATATTAAAATCATTAAAATCACCATGCACTATCACCAAACTATTTACGACGAAGACGATAAATAATCATGATGATAAATAAATCATGATGATGATGATGATGATGTGATGATAATGATGGAGTTGATGATGAAGATTATGATAGTGGTGGGTGTGGTGATGCAATTGCAATTTCTCTTTTCGTTATTTTGTTGTTGCTGATGATAATAATGGTGCTTCCACGACTTACCATCTTCTTTTACGACTATTCTCTCCATAGCTTCAGTCAAAGGCTCGAACTCAGCATTGTCCTCCTCATCCACCTTCAATTCCACCAATACAAAAACTTTAAACATCAATTAACTGCTTCTTCAAATAACGTTATAGTATTTTCATTATCTTCAGTACCATTAGTATCATTATGATCATCTTCATAGGCCTAATCAATTATGAGAAAACTCTTGAAACAACCGAACTTAACTTCTTCATCTACTTTGTTAATATTGAATGAATAATAATGAATGATGATGATGATAATAATAATAATAATAATAATATATATTATTATCATCATCATCATAATTACCATCATTGTCGTCGTCATCATCATCATCATCATAATCATCATCATCATCATCATCATCATCATCATCGTCATCATCGTCATCATTGTATTTGTATTGTATTTTACTAAAACGTCACTTCAAATTTTCACCTCTTTCGTCCCAATAATATACTCTATTACAAAATATGAAGAAGTAATTAAGTAATAATCATCATCATCATCATCATCATTGTATTTGTTTTGTATTTTACTAAAATGTCACTTCAAATTTTCATTTCTTTCGTCCCAATAATATACTCTATTACAAAATATGAAGAAGTAATTAAGTAATATGTGGAGAAGGCGCCACTGACCTATGAGGTCCAGATGGCCCACTCCTTTTCTTTTCCTCTGCAATTTTTCCTTCTACCTTTTTATTAGGGTGTGAGTGTACAGTATGTGTATTTTTGAATACCGTATGTTTTATTTGCTGTTAATATAGGTTTTTGTTGTTTTTCGTCTGGGGAGGGGTTGTGTAATGTATGTCCATATCTTATTGCTCCATGTGTTGCTAAATTGTGGTTGTGCTTGAGAACTTAATCGTGTTATATTTAGTTTATCATCTTCTTTTTCTTCTTTTTTCATTATCAAGACAAGACAGCTCAACACAATCCACGGTGGCATGGTCGGACATTATTGCGTTAGCATGAGATCCACAACCACCCGGCTTCGCATAAACAAAATGTTCTCAATTGTACTTTTTTTTTTAAACAAAAATCAAAGAACGCACAGTACAGTACTTAAAGTGTTTGTGTTTGTAACAATATTTTTGTATGTTTCCATTAATGTATCAATGTCTTCTGCAAAGTTCTTCCTTTTTATTCTGTTATTGAAAAGTTGTGTCCAATAAAATAACATGTTTTGATCAGTACTTCGCTTTTTTTTAAATTGTTTTACTCAATTTCTCTTGTTTCATTATCTAGTGAATCAATTGTAATGTTGCCATAACTTTCTGTAACCTTATGCAGGCCTTATGCTATTTTCATTTTCTCTTTTAAACGTTCATGACTCGCTATAAAAATATGACTGGTTTAGAGTGTGGCTAAACATATTTTTGATGGGAGATGAGCAGCCATTGATGGTTGATTTTATGACATAAAATAATTGCTATAGCACTTTATATCACTTTCTGTTTTCTATGTCAAGCAAAGTCCGACTCAGATGTTTGAACTTTTCATTTGTTTTCTCTAGTGTGAACATAGCATATGCCTTCTGAATTGAATTATATTTCTATGTTTTTAGTGTTTTTAAATTGTTGTTTACGTATTGCATACCGATATTCAAGAGACTCGCAGTTAACAGAAATATCATGACTAAAACTATTGTCATGACATTTATTTTTACCTAGAATCTCATTAAGCCTATTAAGAGTATTCCTTGACTATATCCTGCCACATAATAAAATGTATAAATTAGTATCGAGTATGCCTGTACCTCAGCAGAGTATTTGTGACCGTTGACTCTATGCTCAGAGCCTTGAGTTGAAACAGAACCCCAGTGAAAGTGAAGTTGTACAGCATTGTAAGACCCGGATATAGCGTAGTTACCGCTTAAAGTCAACTGAACTATAAAAAAAAATGTAACTAATGAGAATCTTAATCATTCTTCAACTGATTAATTAACCAAAAATTATGTTTATATAAAATCTGTCTTTTATCGACTTATCGACTATATATATAT